AAGTTTGTATCCGCACACACACACACACACATACATCCAGTTTTTGTAAGGTATGCCAAAATGTTCAGGAACCTTTGAAACGTAAAGATATATAAAAATTTTCATTTTCAATTTTTTTGCGATAACTATAACTTGCCCTACGGGAAGTTATTGACTGTTCATTTTTGTATCTTGCTGAAACTTTTACTGTTCCCGAACGTTTTCTATCATTCTTGTAAACATGAATGAAACATAAGGAACGCCAAGTCATTGTGGTGTTGGTTTTGGAACGCACAAGATAATAATGTTTAAAGAGACCTCTCAGAAAGCATCACACCCACGACCATAATCCACGAGGAATCTTGGCGAACGGTCATCGATGATGATCAAACTCCAAATGAAGTTCGAGCACCTTTCTCACGCTCAGAGTGCGACGCTACGACTCATCTTCGAGGTCGCATCAACTCCACGTTTGAGTGAAGAGATTGTGAAGACATACTACAGAAATGATCCTGTGAAGTATGATCTTGCAGAAACGACGTTTCGACCGAGACAAGCCAATTCCTTTCAGGTTTGTGCGGCGATTACAGGTTAACGTAACGCAGGTATAGGATGCGGTGACATCTAACATCTAACATTCCATTTTCAAGTTTTGCTTATAGAAGCAGCGTTGGGCGTAAAGAAGTACATGATACAACTTCATAATATGTATATTATTTTTTCTAATTTAGTATTTGTCATGTTTGTTAAATTTTATTTTTACCTGAAACTAAATATGACATATTACATAAAATAGGATTTTTAACATCCCAAGGAAGAAGTTTGTTTCCGCGAAAAAATCCGATTTGCTGATTTTATATTATCTCGACATTTCAAGTCATTCTAAATCGGATGAGACAATACTTAGAAAAATTATGTGTGTGTATGTGATATGTAAGTCGATTATCATTTTAGATTTTTTTTTGCAATTACTATAACTTACCCAACGGGAAGTTAAAAAGAAAAACTAAAAGGATAAAATAAATGAATAAGTGATAATTAAAATCATAACAGTAACAATAATAAATTTAAGTAATTTGTGATATGCACAGAATAATGTATTTTGTGATAAAAGTAAAAAAAATCCATATGAAAAATGAACATTATACATATGCACTTCAAATTATCAGATATTTTATAGAGATTATAATAATAAAAACAAATATTGTTTACATTTCCATAGATTCCGAACCTATGTTTATCCGTTAGGCCCTGTGGCGCTTACGCCCTTCGAAACATCCACGAAACACAATTGTTTTGAAAAAAAAATGTAATTACCACTTTTGCACACAAAAAGTGTATTAAATACACAAAACAAAAGAAAAATATACTTAACGTGGATCAGGCTATGTCTGATGTATGCTGCCCCAATATGGAACATGACATCGAAGACAAACATTTAAAAACTACAGATACAGACTAATACTAAACCCGATACTTGACTCAAGTACTGGACACTACTGCTGAACAAAGCTTTTACACAAAAAACCAGACATACCTACTGTGTTTAACCACATTAAGAAAATGACAGAAAACTTCTACCATCACATTACATTTTTGATATTGTTCGGATATTTACCCGTAGGTATAGTATCCCCCTAAAAAAATTTCTTCCAAACATGCAAAGAACATACTAAAAATAATATTAGAACCCTTGGACATAACACTCCTGACATCATCTGGTACGGGAAATATCCAATACCAAATTATATTCTGGACGACACAAATATAAGTATCCGAATATGGTTTTCAAATTGATCATTATAAATACTTCATCTTTGATTATTCGTATTTTATAGACAAAATATATGAGATTATGAATTGGACTTTTATATAAATTTATATATAAAGTACACTAGTCGTTTATGGCATCGTGCCCTAAGACCAATGCTTGGAACTTCCCGTACCGTAACAAAATGTTCGAGGAATATTAAATGTTTTCAAATAGATTATTATAAATACTGTAACATTGCCTAATATTTATAAGATTTATATATACTGAATTGCAGAGCTATAATTATTTATTTAAAGTATATAAGTGAGCTTTAGAACTTTAACAAGAATTAAAAATAAAATCAGAATTATTTTTGATATACAAAAAAAAAAAATTGAAAAAAAAACATAATTTTGCCTTTGCCAAAAACAAATCACCACTTCTCTCCGTCATTATGAATTGAACGTTTCTTCAAATCGGATGCTTCGTTCTCTCACAAAACTCGATTTCTATTTTTTGCACTCTTTACTCCGTATCTTCCAAACGGCTAGACTTGCCTATGTCAAAAAATAAATAATGTTTTTAACCATTCAAATCGGTTAATCCGTGTCCCTGAAAACGTGAACGAAAGTTGTATCCATACATACATACACAAAGACACTCATTTTTTCTGAGGTACACCAAAATGTTTAGAAACCTTCAAAACGTGAAGAAATGTAAAAAAATTTAATTTCGATTTTTGGATGATTACAATAACTTACCCTACTTAAAGTTAATAAATGAAACTTAATCAAGCGGAGTAAAAGCGGATAAAACATTTTATCTTATATTTCTAATAACAATTGTTCGAAAATATTTCTTATAAAATTATATAAATTGAATTGCAAAGTTCAAATTATTTATTTGAAATATATAAGTGAGCTGTAGGAATTTAGCTAGAATTAAAATTAAAATCCAAAGCATTTTTGATGTTGAAAAATAATTTTGAAAACAAAAAATATATATACTGCCATGAGCACATACAATTTTTTTTTTGAAACATTCGAATCGGATGCTTAGTGCTCTCAAAAACTGACATGCTTTAAGTTCCGTATCTTCGAAACGGCTGGAAATGTCTTCGTCAATCTAATCTAATCAGCACGTCTCCTCACCATTAGGAATCGAATGTTATTTTAACCATAAATTGGACAATCCGTACGCCCAAAATCGTCGACGGAAAATTGTCGTCAGACAAACACACACACACATCCATTTTTTCTTAGGTATGCCAAAATGTTGAGAAAACTCTGAAACGTGAAGATATATATGCAAAAATTTTCATTTTTGGCCCATTACTATAACTTACCCTACGGGATGTCAATTATAATAATAATTTTGAAAACAAAAAAAAATCCTTCGTTTTTCCCAAAAACTGATCATTATCTCCGTTTTTTTTGAATAATTCATATTGGTTGATCCGAAAACTCTAGCATGAAAAATCGTATTCACACAAAACACTCGCATACACATCCATAAGAAATGCTGAAATGCTCAGAAACCTTAAAACGTAAAAATATGCAAAAAAGTTTTTGAAAATTTGTTGATGATTTACTTATAAAATTACTTATAAGTTATTCCTACTGAAAGGTTATAAAATATATAATGTTTAAGGAGACCTCTCAGAAAGCATCATACCCATGACCATAAAATCCACGAAGGATTTTGGCGAACGGTCATCGATGATGATCAAACTCCAAATGAAGTTCGAGCACCTTTCTCACGCTCAGGGTGCGATGCTACGACTCATCTTCGAGGCCGCATCAACTCCACTTTTGAGTGAAGAGATTGTGAAGACATACTACAGAGATGATCCTGTGAAGTATGATCTTGCCCAAACGACGTTTCGACCGAAACAAGCAAAATCCTTTCAGGTTTGTGCGGCGATTACAGGTTAAAGTGACCCAGGTATATGAAGCGGAGACATCTGCCGTTTCATTTTCAACTCTTGTTGTTTATAGAAGGGCGTACATGCACGTTTATGTTATAGTTTGGCGAAATACATTAGTCTCTAACGGCTAGAGGAATGAGTTCCTATAATGAGTTTGTGATAAAACTTCATAATATATTATATTTTCTAACACATTCTCTAAAATTTTATTTTTACCTAGCTAATATAGATAGCAGTCACATGATGCATGAAATTAATTAGTCATGCCTTAAGATAAATTGCTTGAATTTTCCGTAACAAAAATTAAAGTGAAAAAAATAGATTTCTGAGAATTTTGAAATTTTTGAAATAAATTGGTTGTTTGCTACGGAATACGTATATATATATATATATATATATATATATATATATATATATATATATATAGATGGTGGGAGAAAGCATCATTATCAACAACACTAATAATAATGGCGCGACATTTGAATTACAAAGTACATATTACATAAAGTTAAATATCACATCATATTATTAACTTCCCGAGGGAGAAGTTTATGTTTTTATCAAAAAATCCGATTCGCTAATCCTGAATCGAATGAGACCAAATTTGAAAAAAGTATGTGTGTGTGTGAGTGTGTGTGCGTGTGTGTGTGCGTGTGTGTGTGCGTGTGTGTGAACAGATTTTTTGCCGTAAATCGAACGTTCGAAAGATATTGGTTGGGAATCGACTTGATTAGTTTTTGGTAAAGATTCGCTGGCACAATGTCCTGTAATTAACTGTTAAAAAATTTTTTGACGATGATTTTTATTAACTTTTTTTTGGCGATAGAAATCATTGTCTTCTAGAACATGCTAAAATATTACGGTCCTATAGGAAGTTGTTTAATATTAAAAATTTGTCAAAGTTTTAAATATTAGTAGCGTTTTTTGGCGTTTTTCAAAATTAGCCTTTTATCGACGTTTGTTCGAAAACACCTGATTCGACTTCAAAAATTTAAAAGCCATTCGATGTATCTCAATGATGACTATCGTTTCTCAGTTGTGTGCGACGATCGGCCGAGCCGTTTCTTTGTAATTTGCTAAAAGGTGTAAAACTTTTCCGTCCGCGTTTAAGCTCCCAATCCTGAATCGATTTTAAAAAATCAAAAATTGTTCGAAATATTAAGTTGTGAATGATACTGATTAGTTTTAGCTAAAGAGGAAGAACTAGCAATTATTAGTTTTTAGAGTTTCTTTGGAATTAGGAAAAGTACAATGTTTTCATTTGTCTTTTTTAAAATTAATAATACAATAGATAATTCACTATATATTCGTCTTATTATTAATATTTATTTAATGTCTATTTCACTGTTTTAGTTTTTCTGTTATCCATGGCAAATAAGCGCTAACTCTTGTGTATACGCCTGGAAATCCAGGTTCAGCGCATCTGTATCCATAAGATACCACTCCGATCAAATAATAGATTGTTCTTTGACCAAAATTTCCAAATATTACCTGTAATAAAAGGAAGTACTATATATAAACTATTATTTGTTAAGAATACTTGATATAAAAGATGTAATATTTAAAATTTAAATGTTGAAATGAATAAATTATTGGAGGTCATAACATCAAGTAAAAAAGAAATTTTACAGATTTTCAAATAGTAAGTTTTGAAGTAAAATCCTACGTCAACATCATTGAATATAAAATTTTTACAGCTGCCAAGAATGACTTTTAAAATAATTTTTCAAGAATACAAGATAACCGATGCTTACATCTACAAATTAATGATCAACATAATTCAACATTTGATTAGAAATCTTTTAGAAAAAATTTTAAAATTGTTTTATATTATGCAAGAATTAAAATATTCTGAAAAATACCTTTGGCCAAAAAAGTGGTCCACCACTATCTCCAGAGCAAGCGTCAATACCTCCTTGCTTGTAGCCAGCGCATATCACTCTCTCATCTATTATCTAAAATGATTGCAAAAGATGTAATTTAAAAAAATATTAATTTTAAAAGTAAAATATTGCTTAAAAAATTATTAATAAAAATCATTAAAACTATATCACAAAATATAGTAGGAGGGGGCACTGATATATTGGTATATTTTGCTCTGGTACCAATTATATGGCATCGGTGAAAAATAAAAATAATTTAATATTTTGGCATACCTTAGACAAAATAGATGTATGTGTGTGTTTGTGTGTGTGCGTGTGTATGTGTGTGTGTGCGGATACAAATTTTTGTCGACGATTTCGGGAACACCGATCAACCGATTTGAATAATTCGAAAAACTTTCGATTTGTATTGATAAGGAGACGTGCTGATTAGTTTTTGGTAAAGGCATGTCTAGCCGTTCCAAAGATACGGGGCAAAAAGTGCCAAAAACGGTAACACAATTGTTAAGAGAACGGACCGCCCGAGTCTAATAACTCAAAAAACATTTTACTTGTATTGGCAAGATGAATAACTGATTAAATTTTTGGGTAGGTAGGTCTAGCGGTTATAGACTCTCAATAAAAATAGGTTAAAAAAATGACATTTGGCGGCCAAAACTGTTTATTGGACATATGTACATCAAATTATCAGATATTTTATAGATTTTAATAATGTGTACCCACATTGTGTATTTTTTTTTGGGTTCCGTACCAAGATGTTTAATTTTAAAATTCACGTATATGGTTCAACCAAATGACTTCGATATGGAATAATCGATTTATAAAATTGAAAAATCATTCGGTTCGTACTCGATCGGGAGGCGTTTTTGCAAAAGGCAATTTTGCCGTCTCGGAGGTATGGAGCGCAAAGGGTGTAAAAACGGTTATGCAGTGTTTGAGAGAACGGATCTTCCGATTAGATTAATACAAAAAACACTTTGCTTGGGTAGACGGTGTGCAAAAAATGCACTTACAGAAAATTTAATAATTTTGAAAACATTCAAAAACAAAATCAGTTTTCAAAAAATTCAAATTTTACGAAATTTTTCATCATTTTCGAAAAAAAACTAAAAATTAAAAAAAAAAAGATTTCTTACAAAAATTTGAGAATATTTCGATAATTTAAAAAAAACGAATATTTTCAAAAATTTTCAAATTCCAGTATGTAATAGAGTTTAATTCCAGTTTACAGTATGTAATAAATAATCTATTTGAAATTTTTCTAAACAATTATTAATTATTTTCATTCTTCGAATGTTTAATTGCGGCACGGGAAGTTCCAGCAATTTGTCTTAAGGCACGATGCCATGCGCCCCACTGGATCAGCAATCAGAAATTGACAATGCTAAGACAACTGTTGTAAAGAATATGAATGTTAACATTAACAATGTCGCATTTGTTTTTGAGCAAAACGGTTGTCATATATTTATACGATATTTTTATAATTAGAGTTTCTCTAAATAAGATGAACCTGTGAAGAGTAAGAATCATTTCTACTTAGAAACATATTTCCAATTATATTTTCAAGCACAAACCAATAAATGAACTGCATTATTTCAGGCTTCCTTCTGGTTGAAAAATCAAAATTATTATTACATAAAAACCTAATTATTGGCAATTGATTTTGAAAGAGTATTAAATTATACAACTAACCTGATTGGGAAAACCAGCATACGCATTTTGGCACATTTCGGTTGTCACTACAGGTAATCTCACCTCTTGCAAAGTTGGACTTGTTGCTCCTTCTAAAAGCAGTTATTTGCGTTTCGTATGAAAGTTATCAAAATAATAATAATAACATTTCTATTAGTTATTCAAACCCACGGTATTGTGTAGCACCCCATCCTGCACCATAAGGATATTCTTGATATATAGTAGTCGTAAAGTTTTTGTTTGCCACATCTTCAGGAAATGGTAAACATACTGGATAAATAGCATCTGTAATTAGATTAAATTAGAATTTCATGAATTGCCGTAAGAACATAACTTCATAAAGCTTCTTTTATCATTTTTCAAATGTTTTTTCAGTTTCAATGCTATGTCGGTCATAAGAAAATTATGACCAGGGTGGATGTCGGGTCATGAAAAATTTATGTAAATATCAAGAGAAATATATCAAAGATACTAATCCTGCTCATCTGATTGTGATTAATTTTAATGTTTTATATCCACAATGTATAATATCACAAACCTAATTAAAATTTCAGAGTGAAGAAAAATTAGATTTTTAGATAAAAGTAGAGTTTATTTTCATAGCACATATTTGAACTCCTGCCAATTAGCTAATACAACTCTTTGAACTTTTTCTCCATCTGTTTTTTTTTTTCATTTTGATGTGCGTTGTCTAGCTTAACTTTCTATCGAGATGAATCCCAAGGTATTTTACGCTCTCATATTTTTGTATTTCTATGTTGTTTATTTTTACGCTTGGAAAAAGTAGATATTTGAAATGAAATAAAACAAAAAAAGGAAAATATTTTTTTACAACCAATAAACTAATTAATTACTTACAAGAATATGGAGCGTCTTCTTGCAGATAGATAATGGCAATATCAGCAACACGTGTCCTTCTGTTGTATTGTTCATGAGCAACTGCTTTGGCAATAGCAACATCCTCAGCTGAATCGAAATCCGTATTAAAATCGAATTCTCCCAAACGTACCAAATACCTAACATAAATAAATTTGGTAACTAGTGGTGCATGGCATCGTGTCTGAAGGCAAATTTCTGAAACTTTCAGTACGAAAAAATATTTTTTTTTAAAAAAAAAACCTTTAAATTTTTTTGAAAACTGAAAAAAATGAGATTTTTGCGAATTTTGGAATTTTTGAAAGAAATAGTTTTTTTATACTCCAAAAAAATTTTCATACTTTGAATTTTTCTGACAAATTTGAACTTTTTTTTCAAAACAATCGTGAAACGACTGCATGGCTGTTTTAGAAAATATATCGAAGCGCGTAAGCGCCGCGTCGCAGTCTATAGAATAAACATTGGTACTGAATCCATAGAAATGTAAACAAAATTTATACCTATTATTAAAATGTCTATAAAATATTTGATAACTTGATGTGCATATGTCTAATCATTTTTGACCGTCAAATGGCATTATTTTTCTACTTTTTTCACTCGATCTCTGGAACCGCTAGACCTGCCTTTTCAAGAATGTAAACGGTACTTCAGTTTGTCAATGCAAGTAAAATGTTTTTGGATTATTAGTCGGACGATCCATTCTCTTAAAAAATGAGTTACCGTTTTTGGCACTTTTTGCCCCGTATCTTTAGAATGGCTAGACCTGCCTTTGCCAAAAACTAATCAGCAAGTCTTCTTATCAATACGAATCGAATGTTATTTGAGTTATTCAAATCGGTTGATCGGTGCTCCCAAAATCGTCGACAAAAATTTGTATCCGCACACAGACACATACATGTTTTAAAGGTTTGCCAAAATGTTTAGAAGCCTTTGAAACGTAAATATATATAAATATTTTCATTTTCGATTTTTTGCGATTACTATAACTTGCCTTACGGGAAGTTAATGACCGTCTATTTTTGTATCTTGCTGAAACTTTTACTGTTCCCGAACGTCTTCTGTTCTTCATTCCACACTCCAAAGAATGATATCTTTTGAATATGAAGAAACATAAAAAACGCCAAGTTGATGGTGTTGTTTTTGGAAAGCACAAGATAATAATATTTAAAGAGACCTCTCAGAAAGCATCACACCCATGACCAGAATCCACGAGGGATTTTGGCGAACGGTCATCGATGATGATCAAACTCCAAATGAAGTTCGATCACCTTTTCTCACGCTCAGGGTGCGATGCTACGACTCATCGTCGAGGTCGCATCAACTCCACGTTTGAGTGAAGAGATTGTGAAGACATACTACAGAAATGATCCTGTGAAGTATGATCTTGCCAAAACGACGTTTCGACCGAAGCAAGCCAAGTCCTTTCAGGCTTTTGCGGCGGTCACAGGTTAACATGACGCAGGTATACGATGCGGTGACATCTAACATCTAACATTCCATTTTCAAGTTTTGCTTATAGAAGCATGATACATGATACATGATAGAACTTCATAATATGTATATTATTTTTTCTAATTTAGTATTTGTCATATTTTCTTTAATTTTATTTTTATCTGAAACTTATCGCAAAAAATTCGATTTGCAGATTTTATGTTACTTCTACATTTCAAGTCATTCTAAATCGAATGAGACAATATTTAGAAAAATTATATGTGTGTCAATTTTCATTTTCAATTTTTTCGCCATTACTATAACTTACCCAACGGGAAGTTAAAAAGAAAAACAACTAGTTGGTATTGGTATTTTGCCTTGAGGCAAGTTACATGAACTTCCCGATATTTTTAAATAATCGACTTAATCAACAAAAAATAAAATAATTTATAAGTGATTAAAAGTATTCCAAGTGGATTTATTACACATATTTGAAAACGAACGAACACGTGAACTTGGAGTATTTTCTAAAAGCAAATTTTCACAAATCAATCATTTTTATAATTAAACCAGTTTCCGTAGGACTTTAATGGTTTAATATGTTCATTAAGATCAAGTACTCTATCGTTATACCGCCTAATTTTAATTTTAACAAACGTCAAAAAAACAACTCATTTTTTCAAACTTTGATGAATTTTTAAAATTAAACTACTTGTCCTACGGCAGTCTTATTTCAGTAAGTTCTATAAGGCCATGATATATATCGCCAAAAAAGTTTCATAAAAAAATCGGTTTAAATTTTTTTTCTACAGTTAATTACAAGAAAACGGCTCGGTAGATTTTCACCTAAAACTAATCAGTATCATTCCCAACTAATTTCTTTCGAACAGTTTTTGATTTTTTAAAATCGGTTCGGTAGTATAAGCTTAAATGTGGTCGAAAGGTTTAACACTTTTTTCCAAATCACAAAGAAACGGCTCGGCCGATCGTCGCACAAAACTGGGAAACGATAATCCTCATCTAGATACATAAAATGGTTATTAAATTTCTGAAATCGGTTCAGGAGTTTTTGAGCAAACGTCGATGAAAGTTCTAATTTTGACAAATTCCAAAAAGACCATACTAATTTTTGCAAACTTTGACAAATTTTTAAAGCTAAACGAGTTGTCGTAGAAACGTAATATTTTAGTATGATCTAGAAGACTATGGTATCTACCGTCAAAAAAATAATAATAAAAATCAACGAAAAATTTATTTTTAACACCTTATTACAAGAAAACGGCCCGGCCAATCTCTACCAAAAACTAATCAGGTCGATTCCCAACCAATATCTTTCGAACGATTTTTGAATTTTCAAAATCGATTCAGAATTGCGGGCTAAAACGTGGACGAAAAACTTTTCACTTTTCTGCTGTTTACGAAGAAACGGCTTGTCCGATCATCACGCAAAACTGACAAACAATAGTCCTCATCGAGATACATCGAATGGCTTTTAAATTTTTGAAATCGGTCCAGCCGTTTTTGAGAAAACGGCGATTTACGGCAAATAATCTGTTGGTGCACACGCACACACACACACATACTTTTTCCAAATTTGGTCTCATTCGATTCAGAATGGCTTGAAACGTCGAGAAAACATGAAATTAGCGAATCGGATTTTTTGATGAAAACAAACTTCTCCTTCGGGAAGTTAATAATCGAGGAATATTAAATGTTTTCAAATAGATTCTTATAAATATTGTAACATTGTCTACTATTTATAAGAATTATACAAATTGAATTGCAAAGTTGAAATAGTTTGTTTAAAGTATATTAGAACTTTAGTCATAATTAAATTTAAAATCTGAATTATTTTCGATATACAAAAAAATTGAAAAAAAAATTTGAAAAAAAATATATTTTGAAAAAAAAAATGTAAACAATTTTTTTCAAAACAAACAAACCTTCAAAACGTCGAGAAAAGCAAAAATTTTCATTTTCGGACCATTACTATAACTACCCTATGGGACGTTAAAAATACACTATACTAAGTACTAACTCATATCGACTAATAATGTCACTCGGATTATTTCTTTATGGCAATTATGCCGACAAGTGTAGAATGAGAAAGAGCTTTTTCGGCAGCTTGTTATATTTGTAAAATTTGGTCATCGCTTGATGCTGAAACAATGGATTGCTTATATTTTTAAAAGCATATTTTAACACCATAAATGTAAGCATAATTTTAAAATCGTTTTGTGTAAATCTACTAGGACAAGATGATAGGTTCTGCAACATGATTGGCCAGAACTAACAATAATTGTTAAACAATTATTATTTTTTAAAGACAATCGGGCGAGCCGATGAAATTACCAGAAAAGTACAATGGTTTCATTTGTTTTTTTTTTTATTACTAATATAATAAATATCTTACTATATATTTTTAATATTATTAATATTTATTTAATTTCGATTTCATTGTTTTAGTTTTTCTATTGTTTATTAGCTCAGTTTTTTCTAACAAGCGCTAACTCTTTTGTATACGCCAGGAAATCCAAATTCAGCACATCTGCATCCATAAGATACCACTCCAATCAAATAACTTTGATCAAATTTTCCAAAAATATTCTGTAATAACAAAAAGTGATATATGAGAACTACTATTTGTTAAGAATGGTTGATTTAAATGTTGAAATGAACGAGTAAATTATTGGAGAGCTTAACATCAAGTAAAATCGGAGATTTTACAGATTTTTATATCATTTTTGAAGTTAAATACCACGTCATTATCAGTGGATATTAAATTTTTACAACTGCCAGTTATAGAAACTCATTTCTCTAACCGTTAGAGTCTAACGCATTTTGCCTAACGATAGCATAAACGTGCATGTTACGCCCTCTATAAACAACAAGAGATGATAATGAAACGACAGATGTCTCCGCATCGTATACCTGCGTTAACCTGTAATCGCCGCACAAACCTGAAAGGATTTTGCTTGTTTCGGTCGAAACGTCGTTTCGTCAAGATCATACTTCACAGGATCATTTCTGTAGTATGTCTTCACAATCTCTTCACTCAAACGTGGAGTTGATGCGACCTCGACGATGAATTGTAGCGTCGCACCCTGAGCGTGAGAAAGGTGATCGAACTTCATTTGGAGTTTGATCATCATCGATGACCGTTCGCCAAAATCCCTCGTGGATTTTGGTCATGGGTTTTTTGATGCTTTCTGAGAGGTCTCTCTTTTCAACAATATACATTTAACTTGACTGAATTCCAGAAACGACGCCAACGTCTTTGTGTGTGATTCTTCTAATTCAAAATAGAGATAGGAAGAAGTAATTAACAACAACACGTTCGGTGGGAACAGTAAGAAGTCTCCCGATGATACAAAAATTTACAGTGAATTTGTTTAAATTGGTTATGACCTAATCTTGAATAAACACCGTTGATAAGGGTAGTCAAATCATTTTTCGTAATTAAGTAGTTATTAGTAACTAGCAAACCCGACGAACTCCGTTTCGCCACCAAATGGTTTCGTGAGAAAGATGAAGAATTTTTTTGTTTGTTTTATATTTGAAAAGGAAATTTTTTTTATTACACAACAGGAATGAATTTATTTCGATTACAAAAATAAAGTGTTTTTTAGTTGAACTTCTCTAAGTGAATAAAAGTAAATCCGCAAATTATCCGTTTCATGGAAGTGGTCTTTGGTAAACCACATTTTTTGTTTTTTGGTCTGACGTTAACACAAACAAAGCGGATGGTTTTCCAACTCGTGAACAGGCAACGTATAACTGCCCATCTGATAGATAATGATTTTCTAAATAATCTGTTCGAAATTTATCCCGCAAACACTAAGCGATTGGCCTTGCGACTTGTTAGTTGTCATTGCGAACGCAAGGCGAACTGGAAATTGCAATCTCGCATTAAGGCACGATGCCATGCACACTTATTTTCTTAGCTATAAACCGTGCGGAGCTCGAGACTTTTCAACGAATGCAAAATTGTCGAAATCGGTTCTTGCGTTCTGGAGTTATATCGTCAGGAAGGAAAACCCAACTTTTATATATATATATATATATATATATATATGTAGATATATGTAGATAATCTATTTGAAATTATTTAAAACAATTGTTGATTATTTTCATTACTCGAATTTTTAATTACGGTGCGTGAAGTTCCAGCAATTTGCATTAGGGCACGATGCCATGCCCAACTAATTTTCTTAGCTATAAACCTTGCGGAGCCCGAGACCTTTCCAACGAATGCAAAATTGTCGAAATCGGTTCGTGCGTTCTGGAGTTATTTCGTCAGGAAGGAAAACCCGACTTATTTTATATATATAGAAGATAACTCGTTCTACACAATGAATTCTATATCATCATGCGCCGTTAATTATTATTAGGCTCCTTTTTTAAGCAAGATAATTTGTTACTACGATAAAATACAGTACAAATACAATACCGTTTATAAGGGTAGTCAGATCACATTATATATTACTAGTTCTACACGATGAATGCTATAGCACCGTCTAGTATTACGCTGTTTTAAGCCATGTGCTTGTCCAAGTTAATTTGTGACTACGGTAAGAAAAGATAAGAGATAAGATATTTCGTAATACAAAAATACCTAAAGAATCAGTTACTCATTACTTTGACCAGGTATAATAAATACAAAAACCTAAGGTTATATTAAATTAAATTCAAAGTTTGTCGCCCGCATGTGGTTTTCGGAAATTTTGAAAATCAGCTTTAATATTTTTTATTTAGACAATTTTTTAACCTGTTTTAATTGAGAGTTCATAACCGCTGGACCTGCCTTCTCAAAAATTTTATCATTTGTTCATCTTGTCAATACAAGTAAAATGTTTTCTGAATGATTAAAATTGGACGCTCCGTTCTCTTTAAAACTGAGTTACCGTTTTCGGCACTTTCTGCCCCGTATCTTCGAAACGGCTAGACCTGCTTTCGCAAAAAACTAACCAGCACCTTATCAATGCAAATCGAATGTTTTTTGAATTATTCAAATCGGTTGATCGGTGTTCCCGAAATCGTTGACGAAAATTTGTGTATCCGCACACAGCCACACACATACATCAATTTTTTCTAAGGTTTGCCAAAATGTTCAAAAACTTTTGAAACGTAAAGATAAATTTTTATTTTCTATTTTTTTGCGATTACTATAACTAGCCCTACGTGATGTTAATAAGTTAAAAAAATGTCATTTGGCGGTCAAAAATGTTTATTGGACATATGTACATCAAATTATCAGACATTTTAAAGAGATTTTAATAATGTGTACACATTTTGTGTAAATTTTTTTGGGTTTTCTTCTACCAAGATTTTTAAATACTGTACGGAAAGTTCAAGTAATTTGCCTTAAAGCATGATGCCATCATGCACCCCTCACCACACCAGTTTTCTAATTTAATTCGTACACATAGCTATTTTTTATCGTTAATCAAGCTGGCAAAGAGAAATTGTTAAAAAAAAAACTGTTATTGACGCCATTTTTCCGATATGGCGGCGCCAGTCATACATTAGTTTAAAGAGACCTCTCAGAAAGCATCACACCCGTGACCAAAACCCACAAAGGATTTTGGCGAACGGTCATCGATGATGATCAAACTCCAAATGAAGTTCGAGCACCTTTCTCACGATCAGGGTGCGATGCTACGACTCATCGTCGAGGTCGCATCAACTCCACGTTTGAGTGAAGAGATTGGGAAGACATACTACAGAAATGATCCTGTGAAGTATGATCTTGACGAAACGACGTTTCGACCGAAACAAGCCAACTCCTTTCAGGCTTGTGCGGCGATTACAGGTTAATGTAACCCAGGCATACAAAGCGGTGACATCTACTTTTTCATTTTCAACTCTTGTATATGCGCGTTTATGCTTTAGTTTGGTAGTTTCTTTGTAAATCGAAGAAAAGTGAAAAACTTTTCGTCCACGTTTTTGCGCGCCTTTCTGGCGCTCTACTGCAGGTAGTTTAATTTTAAAAATTCATCAAATTTTGAATAAATATTTCAGTCAAGATTAGTGCCTAAAGTCGCTTTTGTGATAAAAAAGTCAATCAAGTCAATTAGAAATGGCTTTGGAATTACAAAAAAGTAAATGAACAGTCTACAATATTTCTCTTGTTTTGTAAAAAATTTTACCATTTATTTAAATCATTGAATAATATTTAGAACTACGTACATGATTTCCTATAGAAATATAAACAAAATTTGTACTTATTATTAAAAACTCTATAAAATATATGATAGTTTGATGTGCATATGTCTTATAATCATTTTTGTCCGCCAAATGGCATTTTTTACTATTTTCATTTTCGAAACCGCTAAATCAGCGTACCCAAAAATTTAATCAGATCCTTATTTTGTCAATACAAGTACAATGTTATTTGAATTATTGAAATCGAAGGCTCCGTTTTCTCAAAAACTAAATTACCGTTTCTTGCGCTTTTTATCTACCCCGTATCTTCGAAACGGGTAGACCTGCCTCTGCCAAAAATTAATTAAAACATCTGCTTCTCGATAGGAATCGAATGTTTTTTGAAGTACCTACGGGTAGTTCGAAACGGGTAGACCTGCCTCTGCCAAAAATTAATTAAAACATCTGCTTCTCGATAGGAATCGAATGTTTTTTGAAGTACCTACATAACTATACAAACACGCACATGCATTTTTTCTGAGGTATGCCAAAATATTCAGAAACCTTTGAAACGTGAAGATATGCAAGTATTTATTAAGGCCTGTTACTACTAGCCCCTTTCACGATACGGTCCTAGCAGCCATACTTCAAAATTGATCTACAGCACACGACTCATAATTTATCGTACTAACCGATCGACTTAATGTCAAATCATCAGGCCATCAGTAGTCAATCAATATATTTATATTTGATAAAATTTACTCACAAATCAGCTCTATGAGCAACGCAATGAGCAGCGGTGAGCACATGTCTTCTAGTAATTAGAGCACCACCACATAACCATTTAGTTGATCCATTTTCTCCACGGTAGCCTAAAGCGGCAACCCAGGGCCATTCTCCTACAAATTTGGATGTTTTGTGTAATAAATAATATTTTAACTTAAACTATTTAAATTATATTTTCCAATTTATTAAATCATCATATTACGGATATTATTTTCATGTAAATTCTATACTTTGCTCTCTTATTTATTTAAATTTACGTTATTATTTATCAATATTACTAGATGTTAACTATTTAACAGTTGTAATAAACATTGTAATTAAAAAAAAATTATTAAATCCGTAGATATTTCTGATCTTTTTATTGGTTGAGAAAATTCTCGAAAAAAATCTAAACAAAAATGAGTCAAATATTATTAACTTCCCGAAGGAGAAGTTTATGTTTTCATCAAAAAATCCGATTTGCTAATTTTATGTTTTCTCGACATTCTGAATCGAATGAGACCAAATTTGGAAAAAGTATGTGTGTGGGTGTGCGTGTATGTGAACAGATTTTTTGCCGTAAATCCACGTTTTCTCAAAAACGGCTGGACCGATTTCAAAAATTCAAAAGCCATTCGATGTATCTCGATGAGGACTATCGTTTGCGCTACGATCGGCCGTTTCTTTGTAAATCGCAGAAAAGTGAAAAATTTTTCGTCCACGTTTTAGCCCGCAATTCTGAATCGATTCTGAAAATTCAAAAACCGTTAGAAAGATATCGGTTGGGAATCGTGCTGACTAGTTTTTGGTGCAGATCGGCCTGGCCGTTTTCTTGTAATAAAAAGTTAAAAAAAAAATCTACAATTTTTCTTATTATTTTTTTGGCGGTAGATACCATAGTCTTCTAGATCATACTAAAATATTACCGCCCTACGACAACTCGTTTAGCTTTAAAATTCGTCAAAGTTTGCAAAAATTGGTGTCGTTTTTTGGCATTTGTTAAAATTAGACCTTTCATCGACGTTTGCTCAAAAACGCCTGAACCGATTTGAGAAATTTAAAAGCTATTCGATGTATCTCAATGAGCATATAGTTTGTCAGTTTTGTGACACGATCTGCCGAGCCGTTTCTTTGTAATTTGAAAAATAGTGTTAAACATTTGTCCACATTTAAGCTCATTCTACCGAAGCGATTTTAAAAACTCAAAAACTGTTCGAAAGATATTAGTTGGGAATAATACTGATTAGTTTTAGGTGAAAATCTTCCGAGCCGTTTTCTTGTAATTACCTATTGAAAAAAAAATTAAGCCGATTTTATGAAACTTTCTTTGGCGATGTATATCATGGTCTTATAGAACTTACTGAAATAATACCTTAATAGGCCTTACGACAAGTAGTTTAATTTTCAAAATTCATCAAAATTTGAGAAAATGAGTAGTTTTGTTGACATTTGCTAAAATTAAAATTAGATGATTTACTTGGTACAACGATAGATTACTTGGTCTTAATGAACATACTAAACCATTAAAGTCCTACGAAAACTTATTTAATTAAAAAAATTATTGATTTGTGAAAATTTGCTTTTAGAAAATACCCCGAGTTAACGTGTTCATTCGTTTTCAATTATGTGTAATAAATCCTCTCGGAATACTCCTAATCACTCATAAATTAATTTGTTTATTATTGATTAAGTCGATTATTTACACATATCGAGAAGTTCATGTAACTTGCCTCAAGGCTAAATAACAATACCAACTAGTTTGGGCATTTTTTTAATTATAAATTTCGAAAAATATCTTATCTTCTAAGAAAAATTTTCAGCTAAAATTCTAAAGCTCATTTATATAGTTAATATTTTTAACTTTTAGTTATTTAGTTTATACAATTCTTATGAAAATTAGACAATATCCTTCACTTCAAATGCGGTTGGTTAAGTTTTATTTATTTACTCTTCATGTAAACCAATATAAATATCGTCGTTGGATTTATAAACCTTTATATTTTGTCTATAAATATTACAAATTATGAAATTTACTGCGTTTATAATAATACATTTGGAACTATTTAATATTTATTTCATATAATGGAAACTATTTAATTTCATTACTGGACGTACGGAAAGTTCCAGCCATTTGCCGTGAACCACTAGTTCAAATTCGGTTTTTTTCTATTCAGAATGACTTGAAACATCGAGGAAACGTAAAACTAGCAAATCAGATTTTTTTGCAAAAGCAAACTTCTCCTTCAAAAAGTTAAATATTGTTTATGCCACATTTAGTTTCATGTTTCATATGACTACCATTTGCATTAGCTAGATAAATATCAATTATCAAGTTTGAAATAAAATTTCAGAAAGCATGATAAATGCTGAATTGGAATAAATGACATATTATGAAGTTCCATCATGTACTCGTTATAGGAACTCGTTCACCTAATGCACTTTTCTAACTATAGAATAAACGCGCATAATACTTACAACACTCATTCTATAAACATCAAGAGTTGAAAATGGAATGTTAGATGTTAGATGTCACCGCATCGTATACCTACGTCACGTTAACCTGTAATTGCCGCACAAACCTGAAAGGATTTTGCTTGTTTCGGTCGAAACGTCGTTTCGGCAAGATCATACTTTCACAGGATCATTTCTGTAGTATGTCTTCACAATCTCTTCACTCAAAAGTGGAGTTGATGCGACCTCGACGATGAGTCATACCATCGCACCCTGAGCGTGAGAAAGGTGATCAAACTTCATTTGGAGTTTGATCATCATCGATGACCGTTCGCCAAAATCCCTCGTGGAATCTGGTCATGGGTGTGATGCTTTCTGAGAGGTTTCTTTTAAACTTCATATTATTGTGGTGATGACCTTTTTGCGAATTTTAGCTTCGCACCTAAACAATATTGCAGTGAGCAAAAATTATGTGCAAAAGCAACAATACTACTGTTTTCGCGCAGAGTCATCGTTTTAAATATCGAAAAATCTTTGAAAAGTAAGTTGTGTGCTAGCTCGTTTTTTTTCACGGGGTCTGTTGTGATTTTATTTGATTCGGAACACTTACAAAATAATATTTGTGAATTTGTTGGCAAAACTAAAAAAACAACTAAATTTATTCCTAGGAGTCGTAATTTTCAAATGTACAGTTTTTCTTGATCTACTTCTTCACTTTGAGTATGAGCTTTTCTGGTTTAAAAAAAATGTTCAGTTGGAGTTCGAGCAATATGTAAGATGAGTAAATCAATATCTTCACCAACTACAAAAGTACTTTGTCACACTAAATTGCTTCATCGCTGTTTCAATAATTAGTCATCAGCATCATTATTAGCATGTTTAACTGATATTTTTTTAACAGTAAATTTAGTTTTGAACATTGAAATGAACCGTGATTTGTTTGTGACTATTTGCGAGGAACTGCTCGAACTCGAACTGAACAAATTATTCATTTCTTTAAACCAGGAAAAGCTTATACTCAAAGTGAAGAAGAAGAAGATCGAGAAAAGCGAGACGAAAAAGATGTCGAAACATTTGTAAATTATAACTCCCTGGAATAAATTTTGTTGCTTTTTCGCAAAAAGGTCATTTTTTGACTTTGACCTTGTGCCATTTTTTTAGCTCGCATCGGATCGATGAGGACATTTGAGATTTCTTTTATAACATTTTTAAACAATTTTGTTAAGTTATTAATTATTGTAACCCTGATTCAATTAGAATGAAAAATGGAATAAAAAGTATAAAATATATAGATTAGCGATGCATGCTGCAAATGCATTTTATTTTTGTAGGTTCTGTGGTGTGGTTGGTCATCACATCTGCTTTACGCGCAGAAGTAAAATTGACCGGGCTCACAATCAATTTAAAAATAAGTTGACGTTTTTTGTATCTCGCTGAAACTTTAACTGTCCTTGTATCTATCATTCCTTAGTTTTTTTTAGTTTTTATTTCTGTTTTATTACAATACATTACAATATAGTATACAATAACCATGATTTATGAGCTTACTACAAAAATCTATCATTCCTTTGAATAAGAAGAAACATTAAAAGTGCATAAAATTGGGGGCGTCGTTGTTATGAAACGCTGTCAAGATAATACAATAATATAAGTTTAAAAGAGACCTCTCAGAAAGCATCACACCCATGACCAGAATCCACGAGGGATTTTGGCGAACGGTCATCGATGATGATCAAACTCCAAATGAAGTTGATCACCTTTCTCACGCTCAGGGTGCGATGCTACGACTCATCGTCGAGGTCGCATCAACTCCACGTTTGAGTGAAGAGATTGTGAAGACATACGACAGAAATGACCTGTAAAGTATGATCTTGCCCAAACGACGTTTCGACCGAAGCAAGCAAAATCCTTTCAGGTTTTGTGCGGCGAATTACAGGTTAACGTGCCCAGGTACACGATGCGGTGAAATCTAACATCTAACATTCCATTTTCAAGTTTTTTTTATTATAAAGCAGCGTTGAGCGTAAATGAGTA